CAACCAGGTCTTAAAATATTATTCAGGTGGCAACTTAATAAAGGAGTTTATGAAAATACTTTAATAAGAGCAAAACAACAAATATAAGTTCTGGACACTGGACAGAGAGGAAAAAATGACAAATGGTATGTTTGTTAATATACGACTTACAGTAAATATACTATATGGATCACCTCAAGATTAACCACGAGCTTATTTCACCTAATGCTACCTGGGAAGTTTTGACTAGGTTAGCTTTTGGTTTGTTAAACTTTGGGTGATCCAGTTCGACTGTATTGCTAACCTCCCACCATTATCTGGGATGGTTTAACCTTTCACTACAGTCATGCCACTTTTAATATTTTATCCATCTCTTACTTTTATCCTCAGTCACAGATGGCTCGTTAGCCGCTTGGGCAGTCGTTCACATCTCTCATACGCACTGTTGGCAGATACAGGACATGCACTGGCTCCTGAATATATCAGAACCTGCTCCAGTGTTGGTCAAGTCTGGCCTTGAATGAGCTCACACTCGGTGCTGTCACAACGCTCTTGGGCAGATTGTTCCAAGAGTTCACAATTTTCCCTCCCCAAAAATTTGCCCTCACACTTTTCTGGACTTGTGGCTTCTTCAACCTTGAGCTGTGACCCCTTGTGGGGCGGACGTCCGCCAGCTCCAGGTATGTACATTCGACCGAGTAGTGCCCCCTGATATGTTTACACACTTCAATTAGGTCGCCCCTCGCCCGTCTGTAGTATAAGCGAGGTAGTTGCAGGCGCTCCAATCTCTCTGGGTAACTGAGGCTCTCTAGAGCAGGCACCAGTCTGGTGGTCCTCCTTCGGACATTTTCAATCAATTGATAATCTCTAGCATACCTCAGGGACCAGAAGGGACCTTCCTGTACACAAGTAGTTAAGGAGTACTTTAACTTCAAAGGATGAGTAATGCAAGACATGTGTAGTAAGCAACAGGAGTGGGTTGGACTAAGAATTGTAAATACCCCTGTACATAGCACTTATGATTACCTCAAGTAGAAACCGTGTCTTGCCACCTAAGAGAGCACCTGGAAGTCCTTCCTTTATTTTACTTCATATTTGCCTGGTGGAAACTGGGATACCATACCATCAGGTAATCACTGCTAACCCATGCAAGTGTGAAAAATGGCCATAATACAGTGATGCTGATGTATTTGGTACCTAAAGGAAATTAACACAACAATGTAGCAGAGGTGAGGGTTTATTTCTGTTTGCAACAAACAGTAAACACTTGTAAGTTGCCTAGTAACTAGATGTAGTTAAAAATCATTCATGATAACCAGACTATAACAGGAAGACCACATGAACCTCATATTTATTTTCTTAGGTAATACATTTTTACATCATAAATGAAAAAAAAGAAGAAAAAGATATCAAACATAAAAAAAAAAATCTTAAAATTATAATATAAAGATACAAATCCTTTTCCCCCATAAAAATCCCTAAAGAACCAAGAATAAGTTCTTTTGGTGTACAGGGTATATACTTTATATAATAATAGAAATAGACATAAAAGAAATGCAATATTTATTTTATATAAATTGAATGGTAGTTTTGTACAATATTCTAAATTAATCCAGTAATCCTGAATACAATACAGGTCACTTAATGTTAAAGATTTGCTGTCCTTATAAGTGATCACTCAGGTGGTTACTGTTCTACATAATACAAAATGAATTTTTTTCCCTTACTCAGTTGCCAATGCACTACTTATCCTGTATAATTTTCTTCCTTTGGTTCATCACAAACTACTGTATAAAAAACCTACTTCTGATTATTTTATCATCAATGAAACCAAGCAAGTTTATTCTTTATGGTCAAGTCCATGATGGGTAAATATTCCCAGTCATTAAGGACTTTAGCAGATTTCCTACATTTTAGGTAACTTCTTTTCTTGTAGGCTGCTTTGGAAGCTTGACGAGAAACATGTGGTTGGACGTGGGCACCTGAGGCTTGTTGAAGAGCGCCTGGTAGATGGTAGGGAAGTCTGGTACCACTCTATCATCTCGCTTGAATCTCCCTAAGTTTGTTAGGTCACTGCTGATGGTGGTCCCACCACTGATGGGGTGTGAAGAAGAAATACAATAATACAATCAACACAACTGTTGTTTATTTCAGTCAGCTTAAAAACACACAGTACATATAAGCAATTGCAGCAGCTAAATTTCAAGAGCATTATTTCCGAATTAAATAATGCAGTACTGTACTATCATCATGCATGTCAAAAGAGACAAATATGACAATAATATTAGGTAGTGTGAGTCAAGCTAAATTCAGTAGAAATACAATATCAGTACATTACAGAGGGGTAACTTACATAATTCATAATAAGGTACTATGGCAATGAAGCAACATACAGAAACTATTAAAGAAGCATGCAGTACAGTGCCCGCCTGACACCATCTTTGACGTATCCCTTTACCATACAATATTTGGCATCAAGTTTTTGGGAGGCTGAAGATATTCTAAAACCCTTTACCAGTGGTACAGTATTAATGCCATATTCATTCACTAGAAATGATGAAAACAGCAAAAAAATACACTTACTCTCAGATATAGTACCTAGTGCGCCCTCTATCGTCCCATGAAAAAGAAAAATTATATTAGAAGGATATAGGATTTTTTTTGACTGGTTTAAACCCTTTACCAAGATGCATTGACAATTACTTTTAAAATTTATACTGGAACAATTGGAAACCTTTCAACATTGTAGCAAATCAGTTTCTCAAGAAATGAATTCTTAGTGCTAAAATACCGTATTGATCTTTCCAAATTCAATTCTGGAATATCACTTTAATACATTAAGTTGGCATCATTAACTACAGTACCTGCAATAAATATATTGGTTTCCCATTATTTATGAGGCATATACAGGTGCTCCCCTACTTACGACTGCTTGGACTTACGTCCATCGGTACTTACGACCTGCTCTGACCTTACGACCGCGGCAGTCGTGACCAAAAATATTTTCAAATGACGCGCGCATTTTCTATACCAAAACGTTTCCGTCTCGGGCGAGAGCGTGGTGCGGCTCGGGTCGCCACCGCGTGGGTACACTCACTCAGTGGAGCGCTTAGTTGGTGTTTGGCTATCATATCCTATACTGATCACGCTGTGAACTTTCGTTATTATCGTATTTAATTGACTTTATAATGACTGGAATGCATAAAAGTGAGAGTGCTGGTGGTGCTCCAAAGAAAAGGAGACAGGCAATTACTTCTGATATGAAAATGAAGATAATAACACAGCATGAGAATGGAAAAACTGTAGCAACAATTTCACGCGACCTAGGTTTCTCACACTCGACTATATCCACTATTCTGAAGGACAAGGAACGTATTCGTGATGTAGTGAAAGGAACAACACCAATAAAGCGAACTAAAATATCAAAGAAAAGACAAGGTCCTATTCACGATATGGAAAAGTTATTAGTGATATGGATAGAAGACCAGATACAAAAGCGTGTACCCTTAAGCCTTCTAACCATACAGGATAAAGCAAGAAGCCTGTTCCAAAGCCTGAAGGAGCAGGCAGGAGATGAATGTGATCAAACCTTTACAGGAAGTCATGGGTGGTTTGATAGATTTAAAAAACGCTACAGTCTACACAATGTTAAGGTGAGTGGAGAGGCAGCTAGTACCGATGTTGGTGCTGCCGAAGCTTTTAAGGAAGAGTTAGATGATGTGATTGTGGAAGGGAATTATTTGCCTGAGCAAATATTCAACGTGGATGAGACTGGATTATTGTGGAAGCGCATGCCTGAGCAGACATACATCCACAAAGAGGCGAAAACAATGCCAGGATTCAAGGCATTCAAGGACATGTCAGCAAGCACACACTGCCAGTGTTTTATCGCAGTAATAAGAGTATTGTCTGCAACAACGGATTCCATTCAAGATTTTGCTGATTTTGGATAATGCTCCGGGACACCCACCACACCTGGACAACATGCACCCTGATGTTAAGGTAGTCTACATTCCACCTAACACTACCTCTATCATCCAACCCATGGATCAAGGTGCTATTGCTGCCTTTAAAGCGTATTATTTACGCACGACCTTCGCTCAGGCTGTTGCTGCTACTGAAGGTGAGAAAACGCTCAGAAAGTTTTGGAAGGAGTACAACGTTTTGTCATGTATAAAGAACATTAGTGCAGCATGGGATCAGGTTACAAAACATTGCATGAATGGAATATGGAAGAAAATCCTAAAAAGATATGCGAACAGTTTCAAAGGATTTAATGAAAATGAAGTTATATCGGATATTAGTAACAAGATAGTGGAGTTAGGTAAACAGCTGGAGTTAGAAATTGATAATGAAGATGTTGGACAGTTGGTTGAAAGTGTAGCAGAAGAGCTCAGTAACGAGGATCTTATTGAACTAGATGCACAGAAAATTGCAGAGGAAGAAGAGAGACAAAATGTAGAAGAAGAACCTGCACCCCTCAAAAAGTCTTCAATGAAAAAAATGGCAGAGGCATTTGCTACAATTAATAAAGGAATGCAAATGTTTGATGGCATGGATCAAAATTATGAGCGTTATGCCAAAGTTGACAGAATGATCCAAGATGCACTTGCTTGCTACCGAAAAATTTATAATGAAACTGTGCAGTCTAAATTGGACATCTATTTTAAGAAGTCCCCCAGTGCTGTCTCCTCACGCCCCACCAGTGCTGCCTCTTCACTCCCTCAAGATGATCCAATACCTTCAACCAGCAAGTTTCCACAGTACATAAACCTGTCTGAAGAAAGCGACATTGCTGACCCACCCAGCCCTGTCTCCTCCTCTGCTTCATCCAATTAATATAGTCTCCATGTATCCTGTAAATAGAAAATTATGGGGGCCCCGTGTGCATTCAGCTGACTACATTAAAGGTAAGTGCTCAGTCACACTTTATCCATTCCTCATTATTCATTACTTTTACTGTACTGTATTTCATTGTAGATTTTTTATTTTTTGGAGGAAATTTTTTTTTTAAAGTTTTCTTTTATCTATGTCAGACTTACGACCAGTCGGACTTACGACCTGGATTTGGGTCCCTAACCCCGTCGTAAGTCGGGGAGCACCTGTAGTATGATAAGGGTGAACTAGCCAAGTCAATGTTTTAAGTAATTGCTGTTTTCCTTTTTCTATGGAGTCACACATCCATTTCACCCCTCATAACTAATGGTAATTTATATGTGGATAATGGCGAACTTCCACTCTGGAGACCTTACCATCACACAGAGAATGGATGAAATTTTCTGGTACCAGAGAAAATGTTTTTTTTCGGGAGAGTAGCCAGATCGCTCTTCTCCAACTGAACGCCTCATATGATAATCAGAGGTGAATCCAGGACTTCTCAATGGGGGTTACTTAACAAGGGGATTTACTCAAATCTATATAAGTCTGGATAACAGATGGTTACAAAGCCCAAGATCACATGGTAAATAGTGGCCCTATTTTTCATCATATGGCAGAAGACAACCCCATCCCACTCCATTCTGGGCATGGTAAAATAAATGGAGGGGGGGGGGGGGTCACGATTGTCCATCAAGAGAAGGTGTAGTGGGTGTACTGTTATGAAATGTCAAACAGAAGACTTATGGACACAATGAATAATGCTACATTGTTGGAAGCAATTCCTGATATACAGTACAATGAGATAGAGACTCACAGGTGACCTAACAGTAACATGGCAGGTCAGTCTCTGTTCATGAATGTTTAACACACATACTGTCCAGTATATTTATTGTGATAATTTTCTAGTGTTACTCAGCATTTGGCCTCAGTCTGTATCCTGTTTTAATGACTTTCATTTTACATAAGACAAAATATCTTTCATCACATAAAAATCTATAAATATTAGCTTCTGTGACATAAAAGTAGAGCCTATTGTGTTAGCATCTGTGTAATGGAAAATTAAATATCAGTTTCTGTGTAATTAAATTTTAAGTCACAGGGCTTGCTAGTTTTCAAATCATAGATAATTAATACTGTAGTACAGTATATTAGTTTCTATGAAGTTAAAGGTATCTTAGAGATAATATTATTACTCAACACACTATTTCCAAATTTGGGGAGCAAGGTTGAGGTAAATCTGTTTATGGCCCCAATATACCTGTGTTTTTGTTCATGTTTAAGTTGACAGTTTCAGAGTTTGCATGATAATGATATTTTAGTCCCAGTGGCACACTCTAAATACTTACAATACAGACACAAGCCCCAAGAATTGTATGAAAACAATTTCAAACTGATATGACACATTAACCATATTAAAGCCAATCTTAAACAATACAATAAAAAAATTTCTAGATGGCAAAGAATTTGTAAGGAGCATACAGTTACCCTTGTCTCTCCATCCAAACCTCCATATGAGCCAACTTTTCTCATACCTCACTAGCACTTACTCATTCACGAAATGTTACATGCACATGCATCTTGATAAGCAATACAGCATCACATCAAAAGTAGCCCACAATGCCCTACATTTTAGCACCTTCTGACTTTGCTTAATTTTTTATAAGCCTTTTCATCTAGCTCACTTAACTTTGTGGACAATGTGCACACTAGTGAATCCATGTCCAATAAATTCAATGTTCTAGTTTTAGCTGCACAAGCTAGTTAGTTTAATGAATATCAATCCTGACTGGTTCACTAAAAGAAGTTTTTGTTCAGTCACTACTTCTCAGTAATTTTCCCCACAATTCTATCCTTCCTAGGATTCAACAGACTTACATGCATACACTATACAGTACAGTACAGTACGTGTACATACATTATCAATTTTCATGGCCCTTGTTCATTAATTGTATAAAAAAAAATTCCCTCTTTATCAACAACTTGTCAAACTTCACATCTTTTGCATCAATAAAATCTTTAAATACTGTAGATTCTTTCATAAGTGGAGAATACTATCTGTCTCAACCAATTATACCTTCTTTAACAACCAACAGCTCAACATCTATATCCAATTTATGCACAATGGCTTCTTCGGTTGTACAGGGGGTCCTGTACAAATAATTGAGTACCTCCACATAAAAAGTCCCAAAAGATAAGAAGATTCTAAGGCTGAAATCAGTCAGTCTTTAAAAGCACAAGCGTTGGAGCGATTGAAATTCCCACCCACCTCCTATTCTCGTAAAGGACATCCTTCTCACCTGCGCTATGCATTCTTAATACCAGTCACCTGTATCCACAGGTATTATTTTGAAGTGCTCCAAGAATTATAATTATCAACTTTGTTGTGTCATTGGTGATATTGGTGGACTAATTCTGTTGTGGAAGCAAGGTGGGGTAGTGGTTAAAAGGAAGCGTAGTAGCTATGGGATGGACATGAAATTATAAGTTATATGTCGTAAGAAAAGTGGTGAGTGTGTCTCAATGAACCACTTTCACTGAAATGAGTGTGCGAATGCATGGTTCGGTAGCTTATGTCACATCAACACACCGACCCCAAATGACTTTAAGTACCTTAAATAAGTTATAAAGTTAAATAATTTTATAAAATAATGTGTAATCAAATGTTTAACAAATATTTCTAAGGTGTATATAACTGTTAAAGATAACAAATTAAACTTTATGAGTGTTACTAACAATGTGATGGTCCTGATTAGACACTATTCCTATTAATTCTTATGGGAATCAATTCCCCTTTACAAGTGGTTTCATTATCAGTGGCTTTTTTCTCATTAAGCACTTATAATGAGGACCCTTGTATTACCCACTCTAACAGACCAAAGGTCACCATCTTTTTTCTTTCCCATTCACTTCAGGATTACGTCAAACTGTCATTATTATGACCCCACTGCTAGTTCGAGGTGTGGTAGGAACATACTGATAACCAGTCTTGTCCGACAGCCTAATTTCTATTTGTTTAAATTACCACATTCACAAGATGCCCAGAATAATACAACCAGACAGAGATGACTATTATGTCCCCACCCCCTGCCACTCCCTTCAACACAATACTGCACAGTACAAGAGGGAAATGAATTATGACACCATTTACTAAGAACATCATCACCCTCACAGTTCAATCTTATATATGAGGCACATACAACCAGAGTGGACAAAGCGCAAAAAAAAAAAAAGGACCTCTAGCACCTCTATGGTCTGCAACCCGCCACCCTCACCACCAGCCCCACACAGAGTGACTCAGGGGTAGCTTTTACTTAATAGCAAAATAGACCATACTGACACTTCCAAAGGTAGTTTCCCTATCCTTCAATAAATATCAACTTGACCATAGTGGCACTCTGTCCACACTGGTAGTACATGCTTCACATATAGAATGAATAATATAGAAAATGAAGTATCTACCGGTACATATAACAAACAAATTTTTTTATATTAGTACAGTACAAACACTTGAAATATTATATAACAAAACAAAAACTAAAGTACTAAGAATTCAACCTAAATTTTATGAAATGTAACAAACAAAGAAAATTATGATGTAACAAAATGAAAAACTTTCACAATTAGTAATGCTACTACTAATTACTTATTACTACAGTACTATAACAGCAATACTACTATACTCTACTGTACTATACTACAGGTATTAGTATCACTATCGAGGGGGGGGGGGCCCTTGGGGGTCCAGACCCCCCTTTTCATTAGAAAATTCCAATACTTTTTCTTTAATGCAGTATTGTATTCAGGCATTTTTGTTGAGTAAAGAGTAATTATTATTGACTTCAGAATATCTCCTAATATTAAGCGCACATGACTTCAAAATGGCCCCAAAAAGGGCCGCCGGTGGTAGAGCGGGTTCAATTCCTGGGCCAGTGGAAAGTTGTTTGGACACACTTCCCAGCCCTCCTTGGTCCCTGTTCACCTAGCAGTAAAGTAGGTACCTGTTGTAAATCGAAAAGTTGAGAATTCGTATTCAGGGAAAGTTGTTGGAGCTTCCAATAACTTGCAGACAAAAAAAAAAAAAAAAAACCTGTGAATCTTCAGGCTTCTACACCCTTAACTCATGAGACATAAAGGCAAGCATGAACTTAGCATGCTTCCCATATGGGCACTGTAAGTATTTCTGTGCTTCACCTTGCACAGGATGTAGGGGGGTGCCCAATAAACTACAGTGGGCCCTCGGTTAACGAGATTTCGGTTAACCAGTTGCCTTCCATAAGATTCTTAACTTCAGTTAACGAGCAATCCCTCGATTAACGAGTTTCTTACGAGCCAACCTGAACATGATTTCGCTTGCATTTGGCGGTCCACCAGCTGTAGTATTAATCCGCCAATACAGTAATCGGTTCTAGGGCTTAAATTCCTTACCATTTTAGCAAATATCAAGAAGTTTATACTATTCAATAATTTTAAAAGTTTAATATTAAATTTTTTACTCATTTTAACAATTATTGAACATAATTGAAGGTAATGAAACTAGTTTTATGCGTGCCATCCAGCCTCACAACACACCATACAGGCGTCAGTCTTTGTATCTTTTCAGTGGAGGTAACATCTTGCTTGAGACTCTCTTCAACTAAATGCCTTTTTTCTGTTTTTGCAAGCAAATTATTGGTCATTTTGAAATTTATTTTACATATTGACAATATATAATGCAGTGCAGTGTTGGTTTAAAGAAAATAATCTTGAATTGCACCAAGAGAACTAAAATTTCATGGGTGAAATGGCGCCATGGGGTGACTTCTCTTCCACCCCAATGCCTTCTCTTCTCCCTTCTCCACCCCCATTCTAATTCCCATCATCATCATCCAGGAGCCTTCTACATACACACCTCAAAGTAAGTGTACTTTTCTACCTTTTTTGTTGAATTTAGGCAATTTTTGGTGAGCTGGAACCAATTACCCAAAAACCCATTGAAACAATGGTTTCGGTTAACGAGCAACCTTCTAGAACGGATTGTGCTCGTTAACCGAGGGACCACTGTACTTTGTAAAAAAAAAAAAAAAATAAACATGATATTGATCAGATTTAAAAAATCTTTCTTGGGGGAAGGGGGCCGGCGGCGGCACCCCAAGACCCCCAGCTAGATGGGCTCGCTCTGCTCACCATGTTTCCCCACCCACAACTTCTTGGACCCCGTCCTTTTGATATTCCTGGATCTGCCCCTGCTATCATCATTGCTTATACCATCTCCATTACTCACTAACACAAGTACTGTATTATACTACGCTACATCATTTGCTACTGACACTACTAATAGTAATAATAAATAATGACTATGATAATAGGTACTATCGTGGACAAAAGTTCGCTCCCTGTAGTGAAACTGAGACACGGGAGTGAGTCTCCGAACTGACTTACCCTGATTGTTATCTGGTGCGGGTCGATACTGCTTCAGTTTGGGAAGGAACGAACTTTTGTCCACGATAGTACAGGTATATCACAACTGCCATTTTTAATCTCATACAAAATTTGTATAAAAGTACTATTCTGTTTTAAATATAAACAAGACCCATAAACCATTGAACTAGTTAATACCGTTTACATAAAATGACTCAAACCAATATTTACTTCTGGTTTCATAAGATGTCAATATATTGTTATCCAGTACAGTGGTCCCTCGGTTAACGATTGGTTCGGTTAACGAATTACCTTACATAAGCGCTTTCAATTCGGTTAACGAACAAAAATTTGATTAACGAAATCCTTACGAATATCACGTTTTGTTGTGAGCATCAGCTGATGGGCTAGTCTGCCAATTCAGTAATCTGTTCTATGTTTATATTCATTTCCAGTGGAGTAAATATAATGAAAATTGTGCTCTTTAATATTTGTGCAAAATGAATACAGTCATGAGCCGGTTAACGTCCTAGATGCGTTCTTGGAAATGTGACGTTAACCGAAATGGACATTGTCCGATCATCACATAAACTTTTTATTTATACTTATGTGTATGTGGAATACTATATACGTACATATACACTTTTACTCTTAAATCACTACTGTAATGTGATACATGTGATTAATTTTTATCTCTTGTGCAAAATACATGACGTTTATATTAAAATTATTCACTGTTTTACAAGGATTCCAGCAACGCCGAGCAGATGGGGGAGAGGGTGGGAACGAGCGAGGCGGCGTGGGGGGAGGGGAGGTGGTACATTTGACAGTTGGCACAGGCCCAGGTCTAACACGTGTATATTTATCAGTTCTTAGGTGACTAAGCTTCTCTCTTATAAAAAGCCAGTGAAATGACCTGGGTGAATATAATTAACATAGCTGGGATTCTTGGAACATACTGATTAATTTGAATATAAACATGCTATAATTTGCACTAGACAAAACAATTTTAGTACCGTAATCAAATTAGTACATGTGCACCCCAGCTTTGCACTAAGAAATCTATGTAAATCTACCCAAAAATACAGTTGAAATTTTTTTTTATAAAATGTACTACAGTACTGTACACTAATGTACAACAATTTTTCTCTCTTGAGTAAAATATGACGTTTATATTCAAATTATTGGCTGTCTTGCAAGGATTCCAGCAATGCAAATTATAATCTCCTAACTTTAGTCTGAGATATTATATAAGATAAAAACTGTAAGCCTAAAAGCCTGGCTGGGGAGGGAGGGAGGGGGTTCTGACGGAACCAGCAACGCCACCCAGCGAGGGGTTGGGGGGGTGGGGGGGTTGAGGTGATAAGTTTGAGCCGAAGGTCTCTGTGTGTTTATTTAACAGTCCTACTAAGCTTCTCTCATTTTAAAATGCCAGTGATATGACCTAGGAGAATATAATTAACATAGCTGGGATTCTTGTAAGATACTGATTTATTTGAATATAAACATGTTGTAATTCGCACTAGACATAACAATTTTAGTACCGGAATCAAATTAGTACATGTGCACTCCAGCTTTGCACTAAAGTCATTTACAGTATTTCTTTTACGTTTCTTTTAGTAGGGTGTGTGCATGTAAATGTATGAAAATACATGAAGAAATTTATGTAAATCTACCCATAAATACAGCAGATTTTTTTTAAATGTACTACAGTATTGTACACTATTGTACTACAGTGAGTTCTGCTATAACGCGTGTTTTGATAACGCGAATTTGCTCTAACGCGATTTATGAATTAGGAACGATATTTGTATAACGCGAACGCTTGTTTGATATAACGCGATTTTTGCTTCCTATAGTAAAGAAGAATATCAACAAGAAGCGTTCTGGTGATAGAATTCCCGGTGATGATCGTAAAAGAAAGGATATAACACTTAAGAACATAAGAACATAAGAATGGAGGAAACTGCAGCGGGCCTATTGGCTCATACTGGGCAGTCCCGTTTACACCCAACCCCTATTGCTCATATGAGCATCCAACCTATGTTTGAAGCAATTCAGCGTATTCGAGTTAATGATGATATTTGGTAACTTGTTCCATTCATCCACTACTCTGTTTCCAAACCAGTGTTTACCTATTTCACGCCTAAATCTAAATTTGTCTAATTTAAAACCATTGTTACGAGTTCGCTCCTGGTTGGATAATTTGAGTACCTTTGTAATGTCCCCTTTGTTTAGCCCTGTCTTCCACTTATACACCTCTATCAGGTCGCCCCTCGCTCTACGTCTCTCGAGGGAGTGCAAATTAAGATGCTTTAACCTGTCTCTATACTCAAGGTTCCTAATGCCCGGGATTAGTCTTGTCATTCTCCTCTGAATTCTTTCCAAGGATTCTATATCCATTCTGTAATACGGTGACCAGAACTGAACTGCGTAATCCAGGTGTGGTCTCACAAGAGCAAGATACAGTTTTAGGATGACCTAGCTAGTCTTGTAACTAACACTCCTTTGTATGAACCCAAGTACTTTATTAGCCTTGTTACGAGCAAAAACACATTGTTTACTTGGTTTAAGGTTCCTACTTATCATTACTCCTAAATCTCTCTCACAGTCGGATTTCTCTATGGCATTGTTGTTCATCTGGTATCTGGTTCCCTGTTTACATCTCCTATACTAAAGTGCTTTTTGTTTTATGGAAACGTTTAATTTCATCTGTATTTTTAGACCATTCAAAAGAATTTGTTTGGAATCTTCCTGTAGTTTTGCGAGTCCTCAAATTCAGATTTGACTAACCGTCCATTTAGTATTAGTGGCAAAATTCTTGTCTTGCTGTCTATGCGATATCTATGTCGTTTACATATATAATAAACAATAATGGTCCCAATGCTGACATGGGGAACTCCGCAGCGTTGCTCCAATGGGACTTAGTGCCGTTAATGCTCACTCGCTGTTTCCTGTCCTGTAACCACGCCCTAATCCATTTAAGGATGTCACCTTTGATACCATGAGCTTCTACCTTTCTAATTAGTCTTTCGTGGGGGACTCTGTCGAAGGCTTTGCTAAAGTCGAGATATACCACATCATAATTGTGCCCCTCGTCCACCGATTCGAAAACTGATGAAAAGAATGTTAATAGATTAGTTGGGCAAGAACGTCCGCTTGTGAAGCCATGCTGGGAATCATTGATCAATCAGTTGCTTCTCCAGGTGATTTCGAATAGGAGTTTGAAATGATTGCTTCCAGTAATTTGCCTACTAATGATATTCAGACTGATTGGTAGTTAGAGATAGTGATCCTATCCCCCTTCTTGGCATCGGTATTACGTTAAGCTATCCTCCAGGATTCTGGTACTACACCTGTTTTAAGGACATGTTAAACAACTTTGCTAAGGGCATACTAAGCTCTTCCTTACATTCCTTTAATACTCTGGCAAATATCTCATCGGGACCAGGTGACTTATTAGGCTTTAGTTTGTCTATTTGCTTACTAACATCGTTACTAGTCACTACTATCTCACTTAATTTGTTTTCTTCACTATCTCTGAATAGAGTCGGTGCCTCGGGTATCATGTTTAGATTTTCGGTGGTGAAAACTGTTGAAA